AGGTATATTTTAGGGCTGATAATTTTTAAAATTTGTGTTCGATTAATCGAATTTTTTTTAAATCGATTAATTTTGATTATTATAAGCCATTATTATACAGACAAGGGAACTGTATAACTGCAAGACAAAAAGAAAGAGAAGGGCGCCCACCCTAGTGCAGATGGTTCTTTGTTTAAAAATAGCAAAATAGAGTGCAAAGGTATTCACAAAGGTAGATCGATTAGAAGCATAAATGAGTAGTTCAAGGATACATCAGTTTACAAACTTCAATCAGCCTGTGTGCCAATATGGACGGCACACAGGCTGATTGCTTCCAAATACTAACACAGAATCATAAGTAACGAATAAAAGAGGGCTGCTATGAAAAAAAATTGGCTAAATTATTATACCTTTATAAATTATACAATATAGAAAGCAATCTTAAAGAGCAACTGTGCCCAGGCTACAGATGTTTCAGTAAATGTAGTAAACATACTAAATGTAAAGACTTCCAGGCAGAAAACTTAACCCTTGCAGTACGGGGGTAACTGCAAAGCAAGGGTTAAGTGCTCGTTTTGGTCTAGGGTGTAAAATAAAAATATATACACTCACCTCCTAACATATAATAATCAATGGCCCTGTATTACGTGTGCTAACTTCATCAGGGCTTAGACCAACAGAGCCTGGGGGGGGAGGTGCTGTGAGGACTCGTCTAGCAGCCAGATGGGACAGAGGTTCAGGTATTTTTTTTTTAATTTTACACCCTAGACCAAAACAAGCACTTAACCTTGGAGTGGGGCTACATTTTTAGCTGCCCGGAGATCTTTATGACCTCTTTAGTTGCAGGTACTGTTGATTAATTATCCAATATTACCAATCTGAAGTGGGGTTTCAGTTTGTAACTGCTAACAGCAACTTCTGCTTTTTTACATAAGGCTGGCAGGCTGCCAGAGAAAATAAAGGAAAGAGGAGCTGTGATGGGAGTGGTTCAGAAGTGGTTTGAAGATTAATTTCTCCACAGTACTGGAGCTACAGAGGTCATTGAAGGCTTGTTCATAAAAATGTGAATGCTTTAATGCCTATAGTCTGGGCATAGAGGCACTTTAAGAACTCATTTAATAACAGTACCACTTGCTCTCAATAATAAACTACACTTGCATTACTAAGCTGTGATCCTACATGAGCTTAAACTGATCACATAATGAGGCGGAACATATATTGGACAAACCTACAAATGTAATACAATTTTTAAATATATTTTACAGATATAAAAAAAGAAAAGAATCAAACCAAATTAGTATACACAAACAAAACGGGTTTATGAAACCACTGGCAAAGCAGAGTGCATGTTCTGTGAATGTTTTCTGGTACAAGAAAAATTTTTTACAAAAACTAAAAAAGAAAATTAAGATGCAAAAATATTCAGAAATTTACTAAAAGTTAAAGTTTTTTGATCTCATCAGAACTCAGAGGCATGATTCTTTGGATTGCGGATTGCCACTGATATTTTACGGATCCCCCGAAATTTCGTCCGCTGAAACATGTCGAAAATGCCATCTTTCGGTCGAAATTGCGGTGCATCCATAGATTCTCTCCTCCCTGCTGGGCGCTGCTCTGTGTCCCCTCTGGCACGGAGCAGCGTCCAGCGGGGAGGCGAGAAACTGTCAGGAGGCCAAGCAGTGCGAGGGAGGAGAGCACTGTGAACACCCGGTGCGTCACAGGAGGCTGGGCTCTCCTCAAGCACCACCCCACTTAGCCTCCTCTGATCGATCAGAATGGAGAGCGGTGTGGTCGCAGAGACAGCCATGCGCTGTCACCGGTGCCCAAGCCAGCAGTGAGGGGGATGAGTCAGCTTTCAAAAATAGACCCAGCTCTCCTACCCACACCGCCAGCTCAGCTGTGACAGTCAGGATGGAGAGAGGTACAAGCAGTCAGCTGATTGCAGTTTATAAATAATGTAGAGGGGAATTGATTAAAAAGTGGAGCAGACAAATACTAGAGTAGTCGCGCATGGCAACCAATCAGCTTCTCTGTTTCATTTTAAAATCTTAACTGACCAAACTGAAGAGGCCGATTGGCTGTCATGCACAGCTGCTCCAGTTCTTGTTCAATCATAATTGTGTACATAGTAAAACACCATCTCCACAATGTATGAATGAACAGGAACACAGAGCAATGCTGCCATTGGCTGCTGCCTCTCCTGCACACTGTCAGGGGTCAAAATCAGTGTCCTCTACTGGTGGATCACACACACACAGACACACACACACACACACTTCTAAAAAAGGACACAATGTAGAAAAGGTTGTGGATACCCGTGTATTAGACTGTCAAGTTTTTTTATGTCTGTTCCCATTGGGGAAAATACACCACTCCATTGCACTGGTGACCATTATCGCTGAAATAACAGGAGAAATCCAAATTTTTTAGGTTTTTCCTCAGAACAAGAGCTATGTGGAAAATCTTCCACTGAGGACGCCTAAGCGTAAGCATTATTGAGGGTGAGGACACCCCAGCATGAACTCCTTTGAACCATTTCCCACACAGCAGACCACTAAAGGGGCTGGATGTTGTCCAACCTAAAAGGTCAGCCAGTACAGCAACTACTTTAACCCATTTCACATTCAATTAATGTAAGAGACCAGGCACTGCCTCCTACCAATAACAGATACATGCAACATATCTTATTCCGATAAGCTCAAAAAGAAATATCTAAAAATGGTAAGCAATTTTGATATAAGCCATTATGCGTTCGAGGTCTAGTGGTTTACATTGGAAGACATTGTGCACGAAGTGTATTTAAGGGCACATCAGGGACTGGTGTTTGAAGCTTTGTGAGCAAACTTAAAATTAGACAGGTGAGTAGCCACACCATGCACCACAATACCTGCTATTTTCAATCACCTGTAGGTGTACAGAGTCCATTTCCGTAGATCTAATAGGGAGGAAATAAGTTGGTATGAAGAAAGTTTTGAACAGAAGTCAAGAGTGGACCACTGAACCGGAAAAGAGGGACTCAAAGACTTAACTGCAGCAGGAGCGCCAGCTGCAAAAAAGATTGTGGAAGATTCAGCTGAACCCTTTTACAATAACATCCCTTATAAACACTTACCATCTTTCCAAAGTTCATTAACAAATTTATCAGATGACTGATTTAGAAGTGTTGCAACATTATCATTCAGTGGGTCCATATTTTTCATCAGCCACTCATCAGCTTTGTAATCCACCTAACAAAGAAAAAACATTTTAAAAACATGTACACATGCTGTCCTGCACATGTTCAAGCAGTTTGTTAAAAAATAAAAAATCACCCAATTCCAACAGAAGTTAAATACTAAAAAGCACAGTTTTTGTATCTTATTGCAGGCCTTATCCTAGTGAACCAATAACTACATACATAAGCAAATGTTTAGCAGATAAAATACTTTTCCATATTTCCCTAGTCCCACTGCAAAGGTTTTTATCTTTTCTGGTGTTCTTTAAGTCTTAAAATAAAGGCAACTTTCATTACAAAAAAAATAATTACAGGAGTAGTGAGGGGTTAGAATTACATAGTTACATAGTATTTGGGGTTGAATAAAGACATACGTCCAACAAGTCCAACCCATATAGGTCCACGCATCATCTCATTCTTAGGGATACTGGTATCCCTGGATATTACGGTCCCTCAAGAAATTGTCCAAACGTTTCTTGAACAAATCTACACTCTTGGCTGAAATCACTGCCGATGGCAGTGAGTTCCAGACCTTAACCGCTCTTACTGTAAAGAACCCTCTTCGCCCATTGTGCTGGAATTTTTTCTCCACCAACATTAGGTGGTGGCCTCTAGTCTTTGTAATGGAGTTAATCTCAAACAATTTGTTGCCAATGTTGCTGTCGCCATTGAACATCTTGTACATGAAAATCATATCCCCCCTTAATCTCCTTAATTCCAGCGTAAACATGTTTAAGGTCAGAAGCCTTGTCTCATAGCTCTGGTCCTCCATTCCCCTAATTAGTTTTGTTGCCCTCCGCTGGACTCTCTCCAGTTCAAGGACATCCCTTCTCAGTACCGGCGACCAAAACTGGACCGCGTACTCCAGATGTGGCCGAACCAACGATCTATATAGAGGCACAATTATAGACTTGTCCCTGCAATACATCCCCTTCTTAATACAGGACAAGACCCTGCTAGCTTTGTTTACCGCAGCTTGGCACTGCAAGCTACCATTCAGTTTGTGGTCTACAATGACCCCCAAATCTTTTTCTATTTCTGACTTCCCTAGCGGCATACCCATGATTGTATAGCCTATTTGTTTATTTTTATGTCCAAAGTACATTACTTTGCATTTATCGACATTAAACCTCATCTGCCATAGTATTGCCCACTCCCCTATTTTATCCAGGTCCTCCTGCAATGTTATATTGTCACGATCCGTTTCTAGTACCCTCCCTATTTTTGTATCGTCTGCAAACACGGAAACATGGCTATTTATTCCCTCCCCGATGTCATTAATGAATAGGTTGAACAGTATCGGACCCAGCACAGATCCTTGAGGCACACCGCTCATTACACTAGCCCAGTCCTAAAAGGTGCCATTTACAGATCCCCTCTGGACAGGTTCCCGTAGCCAGTTCTCTATCCACGTACACACCACCTCATCTATGCCCATAGCCCTCAGCATGTGAAGCGCTTGTGTTGTACCGTACCGTACGTGTGGTAATTACAGTCAGGTTTTTATTGCTGCCAGTATTCTCATTAGAGTATTTTTCTTCAAGTGTCCTAATCACCAATATTACCAGGAATAAAAGTATGAATTGGCACCAGAACAGCAATAAAGGGGCTTTCAATGGGAACACCTGTTCCCATGACAAAGATCTCACTTTCTGTGGAGTCTACAGGGCACAAATTGGAGAAATTTGTTCAAGATCGCAATAGAAAATAAAAAAAACAAAAAGTTGACAGGAAATGTAACCCTCCCCTACATGAGTCAGAGTGAAAAGGGGGATTTTTGTACTTCCTGCAAAATCCATTTACTAGAGTTCTTATGTGACAAAGCAGTGCCAAGGGTATAAAACACACAAAGGGGTGGGACCTGTGTCCGTCAACTAACTCCAATGGATTTTTATGGTAAGTACAAGAATTCAATTTTCCTTTCTTGTTCATTTAAGCAGGAATTTAGAAACTTCATATAC